GGATGATGATGATGATGTTGATGATGATGATGATGATGATGATGATGATGATGATGATGATGACGATGATGATGATGATGATGATGATGATGATGATCATGATCATGATCATGATCATGATGATGCTGATTATGATGATGATGATGCTGATGATGATGATGATGGTGATGCTGATGATGATTATGATGGTGTTGCTGATGATTATGATGACGATGCAGATGCTGATGCTGATGCTGATGCGGATGTGGATGCGGATGCTGATGCTGCTGCTGCTGATGATGATGCCGATGATGATGATGCTGTTGGTGATAACGATGATGCCGATGATGATGCGAATGATGCTTGTGACCATGGTGTTGGTGATGATGATGATGATGATGATGATGATGATGCTGCTGCTGATGATCATAATGCTGATGTTGATGATGACTATTACTGATGATGATGCTGATGCTCCGTAGCCACTTTGGCTCAAGTTGCCAAGTTGGTGCAAGTTTTGCATTAGTTTGGCATCCTCCGTGTCCCACCCTGCGCGTCGCCTCGGTTCCCGATGGTACGGCCCAGTGAGTGTAAGTGTATCAACAGAGATGCGGAAATAATTGATGAGTTGCCAGAGAAGCTTATTGACCTCAAAACCGGAGGCGACGGTTACAGCGTCTGGCCATTCACCGATCACATAATATTAAGCAACAGGTCGTTGTGCAAGATTTCGCGCTGAGGGTTGTTGCGCCAGTGTTCAAGCTGAACTGCTTCACCGACTTTCTGCTTGAACGGATCGAATCGATGGTGATGGATCTCCATGGTGTTCTCATGGGCCATGGACATTGCAGCCCCGAGGATCTCGAATAACATCACGGGATGCCAGCTGCTGACTCTGGCGGCACGTGGCCTGGGTCTCAACCATCAGATTTTGTGTTTTTCCGAGCCGACTGCGAACACAGTTTTGCTGCATACCCTTGCCGCTGCATCAGAAGCACCGCGCGGGAACCCATTGCCAACTGATTTTCGATGCTTGCCAGCTTCCGCTTGGAAAGCAATGTACGACCGTTTCGATGATTGTCAATGCGAGTGTAGAGGTTCGGATGCCGAGCCGGACAGCATTGCAGGCAGCGTGGGCGACAAGACAGCGTCTCATTGCAAATCGAACGACAGTTGCCTGGGCAGCGACTACGATGACACCTGATGCAAGCTCTGCCGCGTTGCATTTTCCGATGACATTGACGAGGCAGACAGCTGCGAGTTGTGTTTGAAGCCGCTTCACTCACGATGCTTGCAGAACGTACCTAATCCAGTTCAGCCTAATTCCGCGTGTGAAGATTGCTTCCCGGCCGCGCTTTCTCGCGGACGTGCAGCCGAACAGGAGACCCCGGATAGGGAAGCATGAAACGAAACCTCGTGCCAGTGCAGAACATGGCACGTCTTCCGCTGACACATGGTCCGAGCCGGAGGCACAACGTTGCTTCCAACTCATACATCACAAGATTTGGTCTGATTCTGGCACCCGCGTCTGCCACATTTGATCGATTCGAGAAGGATGTGCTGGCATCTCTACATAGGCTGTCAGCGGACATGCGCAGAGTTATTCTGAACATGGTGCAAGAGATAAAGGGAAGACGCCCGGCTTGGTTGAACAGTGGGTGTTCCAGTTGGGCAAGGATGGCAATCATTGAGCGTTCTGTTCGTCCCTGGCTCCTCTCTTGCTTTCTCCTCCATCGGGTCCAGGCTTGGGCCCGAAGGACGATTGAAGGAGATGAGCAGGCACGACACAGTATTTCTCATTTTTGGAATGGGCCGGTGTTCTTGGCTCCTGTCTATGAGTTGCTCTGTCAGAAGAATTCTCTTGGATGGCACGATCATCACAAGCGTGCCCTGCAGGCGATAGTTGCCAGCGTGTAAGTCTTACGCGCCAGATGTCACCAATCTTCGTCAGCTTTGCCATGGCGGTGTGGGCACCACTTTTCATCGGAGGTCGTGTTGCACTGCTCACGAGCCGTGGAGGAGGGAGTTCCTGGACGACGCCGTCAAGACCGCAGCTCCGCGCAACAAGACCCTCGACCCTCTCGCATGAGGACCAGGAGCTTCTCCGTCGGGGGTCGTTCCCAGATCCAGGGCGGTTTGTAAGCTGCCCTGTTCGCATTGGAGAGGATCCATACGCAATGAAAATCAACTGGCCGCTGGAAGGCCCAATGCTCCAACCTGGCTCACGATTAGACATGAACGGCGTGTGCATTGATGGGTATGGTTTTGAGATGGTTTGGCCGTCTCTACGGGTCGCAGGTTAGTCCCTGGCCACACCTGATGACAATGGCGAAGTGTTCTCAGCTCTGTACGGTGTGGTGTCCCCCACGAGGGGGCCAGACCAAGTGGCAAGAGACGGCGATGAGTGTGCAGTTTTGATGTTATCTCGTTGTGCTGCGGCGATGGCTGGCGTCGCGATGCACATCGATTGCTCGGGCACGCTCGGCTGCGTGCCCCACTTGGCGATTCCCCTTGGACGTGGACGTCAAAACCGAGAGCGCGTTGGTGGGCTGGAATTGGAGACTGTTTGCCTGGTGCTACTTTTCACCAAATGCAGTCTCATTTGCATTATGTGGCCGTCAAGGATGGGAAAACTTCACACCGCGACTGGCGTGGGAACATCGAGGCAGACAGGCTGGCCAAAGAGAGCGTCTCGTTTTTCAGGGCCGACGTCGGCGGCCTTCTGTTGATTGGGGAGTGTCATGAGCTGGCGAGACGAGTGGCTAAATTTGGCGGCCTTCACCAAGCCCAATTGTCTCAAGCAGTATGTCGCGCCCACGTCATTGATCGTGGACTTCGAGCTCTGGGGGGGGGCAAGGGTGATCATATTGAGGTTCTCGGCCCCCGTCGAGGTCATGTGCTGGCAAGGCCAACAGAACTTGCACCGAGACTTAGCATGATACCTGCTGTCCCACGACACGTTACTGTCACAGGTTCTGCAATAAATCATGGAGTCCAGTTGAGAACCATCATCCACAACGTCAGCACGTCTAATCATGTGGCCCTTTAAGCTCCAAGGTTCAGGAATCAACTCATCAGGGCCTTCTTCAGCACCCGCAGCTTTCATAGGGACATCGTTGTCCACAGGCACCGAGGCAGGCAATGGTAGCCCAGGTACAGGCGTAATATCCGTGAAACTCCTCCAGTTGAAGCCCACGTGGTCGGCCTGAGCGCTTCTGCCGTTGTCCTGTGGATGCCCTTCCTGGAGGACTCGGAGGTAGCCGGTAGGAGTGAGGACTCGGGGGGCCGTTCGAATGCGTCGAATCCGAAGTTACAGCGTCGTCGGCCCGCCCCTGGCTTCGACTCGGCTCGGGGTCTGGCTCCTTCCAGGCGAACGACGGATGAGGCCAGGGCGCTTGGGCCCCAGGCCCTTGAGCGGGCCCGTTCCCGCGGTGTGGCTCCTGAGGATCTGCCTCCCGATGCGTGTTCGTGGCCCCCTGCCCTTTCGGTGGCCTCCCGGCGCCGCCCCCCTCATGCCCTGGGTCTCCTGTCTTCTAGCATGCTAATGGGGTAAATCTCGAACTGTCAGAGCCCGCGAGCAGGAGGAGGAGGAGGAGGAGGAGGAGAAGGAGAAGGAGGAGGAGGATGTGGACGTGGATGGCGAGGAGTGAGACGGGGAGGAGGGGGGGAGGTGGAGGGTAGCGGTGGACACTCGTAAGGGCGATGCATGATGATGGTGATGATTCTATGCGAATAAAGATGAAGGTACGCACCTGATGCTGCTGCTGTTGTTGTTGATGATGGTGGTGATGATGATGCCGATTATGATGATGATGATGATGATGATGGTGATGCTGATGATGATGATGATGGTGATGGTGATGGTGATGGTGATGCTGATGATGATGATGATGATGATGATGATGATGATGGTGATGGTGATGATGATGATGCTGATGGTGGTGAAGATGATGATGCTGGTGATGATGATGATGCTGATGATGACGATACTGATGATGATGATGATGATGCTGATGATGAAGATGATGATGATGATGGTGATGATGCCGATTATGATGATGATGATGATGGTGGTGGTGGTGATGTTGATGATGATGCTGATGATGATGATGGTTATGATGATGATGATGATGATGATGATGATGATGTTGATGATGATGATGATGATGATGATGATGATGATGATGATGATGATGATGATGATGATGATGATGATGATGATGATGATGATGATGCTGATGATGATGATGATGATGATGGTGATGCTGATGAGGAAGAGGAAGAGGAGGAGGAGGGGGAGAGGAGGAGGAGGAGGAGGGGGAGTTAGGAGGAGGAGGAGGAGGAGGAGGAGGAGGAGGAAGGCGGATGGAGGAGGAGGAGGAGGAGGAGGGAGGAGGAGGAGGAGGAGTTGGAGGAGAGGAGGAGAATTGGAGGCAGGAAGAAGGACGGAATTGGAGGAGGGAGGAGGGGAGGAGGAGGGGAGGAGGAGAGGAAAAGAAGAATAAGGAAGAAGGAAGAGGAGAGTTGAGGAGGAGGGGAGAAGGAGGAGGAGGAAACAAAGGAACTGGAGGCAGTAGCGAGAAGGGTGACGAGTGAGGAGGGGGAGGATGAGGAGGAGAGGTTAGACGGAGGAGGAGGAAGGAGGAGAGGAGGAAATTGGAGGAAGAGGGAAAAGGAACTGGAGAGGAGGAAGAAGGCGGAGAGTGAGGAAGGGGAGGAGGAGGAGGGAGGAGGAGGAGGAGGAAGGAATGGAGGAGGAATGGAGGAGGAGGAGGAGGAGAGGAATTGGAGGAGGAAGAGGAGGAATTGGAGGAGGAGAAGGAGGAAGAAGAGGAGGAGGAGGAGGAACTGGAGGAGGAGGAAGAAGGGGAGGGGGAGGAAGGGGAGGAGGAGGAGGCGGAGGAGGAGGAGGAGAAGGAGGTTGGGTTGGGTAGGAGGACGGGCCGCTCACTCCGACCTGCCACTCGGGCTTCCCGCTCCCTCCGCGAGCGGCCGGCCCCGCCCCCCCCCACGTGCGCGAGGAGCTGGTGGCCACTGCCCGCGCGGACAGCCCGGCGGACTCGCCCGCGCGGTCCGGGCAGCGGCGGTCCGTGTCCGGGCCGCGGCGGTCCTCGGAGGAGGAAACCTACGCTACGATTTTGTTCAATCTTCAATCTTCGATCCTCGGCTACGAAACCTACCTACGCTACGCTACGCTACGAAGGGCGGTCCTCGGCGATCTTCGACGCTATGATTTTGTTCCATCCGGGCGTTGGTCCTCGATGTCGGCCTCGGGGGCCCGTGCTCGGGCCCAGGGGCCCTCAAGAAGGGCTCCAGGACGCAAGCAGTCACGTCGGGGGATGCTGCGAGGCCCTCGTTCTCGCCCTGCTGGGCCTGCTGCGAGGCCCGCTCGTCGCCACCGCTGGATTCGCCTCGGAACCCTCGTCAGCTCGGGCGCACCCAGGGAGAGACCTAGGGAGCAGAGGTATCAGCACCTTTTGGTTTCCCCAGGTCCCTGTCTGGGCCGCGGCGGTCCGTGCTGGGCGTGGCCGCGGGCGTGAGGAGCCAGGAGGGCGAGCTCCTCGAGAGTCTGAAGACCATCCTGAGGTCGGCCCCTCGGCCTCCCGGAACCCGCTAGTCTCCTGCTAGGAGGAGGAGGAGGAGGAGGAGGAGGAGGAGGAGGAGGAGGAGGAGGAGGAGGAGGAGGAGGAAGGGGAAGGAGGAGGAGGAGGAAGGAGGAGGAGGAGGAGGAGGTGACGCTTTGGGTCCCTCAGGCCCAATAGCCCGCCTAAGAAAAAGGAGGGGGTGCATGAGGAGGAGGAGGAGGAGGTGATGGAGGAAGAGGAGGAGGACGAGGAGGAGGAGGAGGAGGAGGAGGAGGAGGAGGTGGACGTGGATGACGAGGATTGAGACGCGGAGGAGCGGGGAGGAGGAGGAGGGTAACGGTGGACATTCGTAAGGGCGATGCATTGTGATGATCATGTGCGAATGAAGATGCAGGTGCGTACACGTTTGTGTTCATCAGGGGTCATCCCGACTCCGCCGGCTCGATTCGGTTCGATCTCCACAAAATACGCCACGGATGAGAGGAGATCATGGTTCCAGCGTTGCCAGCTGCCGGAAGCTGGCCTCGCCGGCTCGAACTTGGCGGTGCACTCCGACGGGGGCACGCGTGCTGACCCGGTGCTCCTCGGTGGGGCACGGTGCACCGAGGCGGTGACGCGCCGAGGGCCACGCACGACAGCGGTGCCAGCGATCCTGGCTGGGACGTCTATCCAAGGTCCGGTGTCTTCGTTCGCGGCCGAGTCCCTGGCATGCGCAGAAGCAGCGCTTGCGGCTCCACTTCTCGTATTCAGCGCTCTGCCCTCCATTGGTTGCCTTAGGCTTTGCGGCATATAGAGAGAGGAAAAGGGAGAGAGAGAGAGAGAATAGATAGACAGAGAGAGAGACAGAGATAGAGAGAGGGAGAGAGAGACAGAGAGAGACGGGGTGGGAGGAGCCATCACCACAACATGTCTCTACTACCTATCAGTGCCTTCCCTATTCCCTCACTTCCTCCCTCTCGCCCTTCCCGCCTAAAACTTTGTATGGACTGTGTGTGCACGTGTGAAGCTGTACAGAAGCACCGTGCATGTGTACATGCATTTCAAAAGAATTCGAGTACATTTGCAGACATACGTACATATGTTTGCAATCGAGTGTAAGATTAAACCACACTACGAATGTATGCTTGTACAGTCTCATGGCACACACACACATATATATATAGATACACATATATATACGTGTATATATACACATACATACGTGCATGCACTGAAGACATCGTGTGTGCATACATAGACACGTACCAAAGAAGCGGGGCGGTTGTCGACCCCGCCCGGGAAAGGGGGGCCGCCAATTCGGACCACGGCGGGCCGGACGATCGAGAGTTCTATTACAGACAGGAGGAGGAGGAGGAGGAGGAGGAGGAGGAGGAGGAGGAGGAGGAGGAGGGAGAAGCCCAGAGCTGACACCCAACAGGCCCCACCCGCCAACTTCGCGAGCAGACCGGCCCTTGGACGCGGCCGCGCGCCCGTGGAAGCACTCTGCCCGCCTCTGTCCACGTTCGCTCCGCCTTCTCCTGCTCCGCCTCCTCCAGCGCATCATACTTCGTTCCTCCTCCTCGTCCCCCTCGCCTAGGTCCACCTCCGCATCCACGTGGTGCCCCTCTCCACCCCTCTAACGACAGAGTGCCCCCTTGCACGCCGCATCGCTTGCGCCTTACCCCGAGATCCGGCGTTGCGAAACATTGCAGCACTGCCGAAGATCACGGCTGGAGCCCTGGACCCCATCTTTCTGCTGCGTTCTTCGAGCCAGATGGATCTGTGATGGTCCCGGGGGCCGAAGCAGGGACAAACCTCTGATTCACGAAGGTGAAGCGATGTTAGACTCCCTCCCCCTCCTCGCTTCACCGCGCATGCGTGCAGGGCCGCCGCCTGGTGGAGGCTCGAGGGTTGTGGCAACAATGCAGCGCCCAGAGCTCCCCGGACCTGCGACGTCTCTCGATGTTTTCAAGGTGCGCCCATTTGAAGTCCCGTCCCTTCCCCCAGGGCCGGCTTTCCATCCCGACTTGTGTCTGACGGTCCCGAGGACCAGCGAGGGTCAGCCACGCTTAGAGGGTGGTAGGGGGAGGGGGGAAGGCTTCTTAGAAGCACCCCTGCTTCTCAGAACGCGCGGGCGTTGCCTGTAGATGTGAGGCCGGCGCCTTCTAAGAAGCAGCCTCCTTCTGATCGAGCGACAAGAACGATACACACGCACCGATCCCGGCAAGGCCCATCCTTGACCCAGGATCGGTGCATACACCTTCCTGGCCAGGGTGGCGGGCGTGTGCACCGATCCTGGGCTCAGCATGGGCCTGGCCAGCATCGGTGCATGTGCACAGTTCCCTCTCTCCTCTATCCAAGAAGCCGTCCCCCCGCGGTGGCCGAACGTGGCCGAGCCCTGCCGCCGCGCTTCCGTGCGGGGCGCGAGCGCCGCCCTCCGGGCCAGGGGGAGGGCCGCGCGGGGCCCGGCGCGGCCGCTCCGGGCCCGCGCCCCGCGGCCGCAGGGCGACCGGGTCCTTCCCCGACCTGTGCTCCGTGCGCGACGCGGCGGAGGAGCCCCCCTCCCCCCGCCCCTTGCCACGTGGCCGCGAGCTCCCCAGACCTCCTCGCGTCGTGAAAAAATCACGACGGGAGGTTTTTCGCTATTTTCGGCCTCCGGGGGCCCTCACCGGGCCTCGGGACCGTCAAAAACGACTCAGGACGAAAAACCGGTCCCGGGGAATAGGTCGGGACCTCTGGGGGTCGCGTCATGAAAAAATCATGACGTCGGGGGTCTGGGTCGGACGCGCGCCTCCTCCCCTTGCCACTTCGACGGCACGCAAGAGTGGCCTGTCGCCGGAGTGGCCCTCGGGTGCGGGCACCATGGGACCCCCCCGATCACCGATGGCGATGCGGTGGTGGCGTCTTACGCGCCTGAGTCTGGCACCCCCGCGGCCCCCCCAAAGCCGCGCACCAGAGGTCACTCTTACGCAGGGTCACTCTTGCGTGGAGCCGACCACTTGGCATCGGGCTCGGGCGCGTGCCCCTTCTCTCTCGGCGAGGCCCACCGAGGAGCATCCTCGGGGGAGGAAGGAGCAATGGCGTAAGCATAACGACTCGGAGGTCCGCGCGGACTTCTCGGATCGGCGCGGGCCCCCCTCCCTGGCGCCAGTGAGGGGGGCCCAGCGCGGATCCGAGAGCTCTGCGCGGACCTCCGAGTTTTTGCGTTGACGTCGTTGCTCGTTCCTCCGATCCTGGAGCACCGAGCAAGAACAGCGCGCACGCGAGCGAAAGATGCACGCGGGGAATGGACGTCCGAGCGACGGCAAGCCCAGGCCTTGCCTTTTGTCGGGCGTGTCCCCCATACAGGGGCATTTTCGGCGAAAAAGCATAAGACGTACCCCAAAACTGTCCCAGAAAGGCCCGAAAAAATTCAAAACATAATCCCCAGGCTATTTTTGAGCCATTTTTTGAGCATTTCTTGGGTATTTTCTTATTTTTTGTCGACAATCCCCCTGTAGGGGCACACGCCCTACTCAGGCCCTGCCCGGCCCCGGCCGGGAGCGGGCGCGCCAGGAGCTCTGCGGCCTCGCTCCGCGCAGGGCGCGCGGCAGCGAGCGGGCCGAAGGGGGGGCGGCTTCGGCAGCAGGGCACGGGAGCCGCGCGCGCCGGCGCAGCTCCGCGTGGCGTCGACCCCAGACCTCCTCGCGTCGTGAAAAAATCACGACGGGAGGTTTTTCGCTATTTTCGGCCTCCGGGGGCCCTCACCGGGCTTCGGGAGCGTCAAAAA